TCTGGCTCACCCCTCTCCATCCTTCAGGTCAGGAAGTTGGCAGTCCCCACCGCAATCATTCCCAGATCCCCTATGAAACATGGACCCTGCCTAGCTCAACATCCACCCGCGTGGCAGCACCTACCAGGCTAGTATTGTCATTGGCTATTTACCAGGTGACAGGACAAGGATTCCTTCTCCTTTTCCTCTGGGACTGAGTAGGAACCTCCAGCCCACACTAAGCTAGGATCAAGGGAGGGGGTCTCTGGTGGAGCAGGGGAGGGCAAGAGGCAGAAACTCTGTTAGCATCACCAAGCACAGGAATTATAGTGTAAAGGCTGGTCCCGGCAGGAGAAAGATTTTATTTGCCTTGTAGATATTTCACCCTGAGACCAACGAGGGCCTTTTTCCTTCACCCCAGCCCAGCCCACTTCCTTTCCCCCCCCCCCACCCCGGACCTTACCCAGCCCCCGAGCTCCATCACAGGGAGAAAACCAATTTATGGAACCAACTGACTGACAGCAGAGTCTCAGGAAGAGAGGACTGAGGGTGGAGGCGGGGGGTGGGCAAGTAGAGGGTGGGAGCAAGAGAGAATTGGAGGACAGAGAGTAGATGACCCTGCCATCCCAGGTGGCCTCAGTCTAGACCTGCGGGGGGTCTGGGGGGATGGAGTCAAGAACGGTTTTGCTTGACGTTTGAACTGCAAGACTTTTACATAATGAGCCGTAAGTTAAAGGTTTACTCTCACGTTCACCCCCTTTCTTAGGGCAGGAGTGAGTCCCTACTGAATCCTTAGATCCCAGCAGAGCAGGTGCTCAGTAAACTGTGCTTAAATTAATGATGAGTTAGTGAATGAATGAATGAATGAAGCCCCCAGTGCTCACGTGACAGAGATCCTGTGCTCTGCGAATGTTGAGCTAATGAGGGTGTGTGTGTGTGTCTGTGTGAGTGTGTGTGTGTGTGTATTGTGTACTGGGGAGAGATGATCTCTCAAATCCACACTCTAGGTCCCTGCCTCTGCTGGGGGAGGGGCCTCAATTAACCACAGGGTGGGCCACTCGGCAGGCAGGCAGCTGGCCCTTTACTCTCCTGCCCCAGGGGCTCCATCCCCTCCTCCCAGCCGCACCTGGTGGATGAGGTCAGGTCAGGAGGTGAACGAAGAGGATGGCCAGGCCAATGTTAAGCAGAATCACCATGCAGATGAGGACGGTGTTGGGGACCTGGGAACAGTGAAGAGAGGCTGCCTGAGTCCCCGGGAGAGCACACCCCCACCCTCTTGCTTACTGCTGTGCCCAGCACCAGGACACACCATCAGCGCTGGAAGGATTCTGCGAAATAATTAACCAAACTGCTCAGGGTCCTGAGAGGGGCAAGAATGTATCCCAGATCACACAGTGGGCAGAGCTGGGCCTGGAACCCAAGAACATGGCCTTCCCCACTGCTAATTCCTCTGGGGCCACAGCTGTCAGATCCTCAGAGCCCAGCTTCAGTCTTTGGCGCTGCAGTTCCTAGCTCCCAGCCTCCTATAGGAAGCCCCAAGGTCCAGGACCCAGGCCCCCCACTGGGCCCCTCACTGCTACACCTTGCAGCTGAGGCTGGGAGCCTGATGGACAGGGGCACCCAACCCCAGCCGCTTAGGACTCCCAGCCACCTCCTTCTCCAAAGAACTGCCCAGACAGCGGGCACAAAGGCCAGCCCCCTGCCCCCTGCCCCAAGGTGGGGGGCTGTGTTGTGTAACCGTGGATCAGGCTGCACTTAACTAAGGCCACATCCCGCCTGCCCTGTCCTGCGCCATCACCCTCGCCGCCTGGCCATCTGCCCCCGAATCCCACCCCCAGCTCCCCAACGACTGGGGAACCCGACTTCCCACCGACAGCCTCACCTCCTCCACCTCCACCTCCGCCGTCGCCGCCTCCTTCCGAGCCTTCTTCTTGGCCCCGGCCTTGGTCAGCCGGGCCTCCGTCTTGCGGGCCTTGGCCTTGGGCTCGGCCTTGGGGACGATGGGCTTGGGTTCCAGCTTGGCGGGGCTCTCGGGCGCGGAGCCTCGGAGCGGGGCCGCCGTGCCGGGGGCGGCCGGGGACGGGGGCGCCGAGTCGGCCGCGGGGACCTCGGGCTCGGGCTCGTCCTCGAAGGGCGGCGGCGCGGGCGGCGCGGTGCGCACGGCGTAGCTGTGGTAGCCCTGGTAGAGCGCCACCTCGGGCTCCTGCGACCGCGCGGACGGCGCCTGCAGCGCCTCGATGGCCGTGGGAAAACTTTCAGTGGCAAATCAAACCTTACTGAGCATGAGAAAATTCATATTGGAGAGAAACCCTTTAAGTGTAGTGAATGTGGAACACGTTCCAGGCGCCCGAGCTCAGCAGGCCGTCCTTGGACGCCGCGGCCGGCCGGGGCCGCTTGGGCTGAGGGGGCGTCCCGGCCGGCGACGGGGGCCCACCCTCGGGCGCAGGGGTCTCGCGCTCGTGCAGCTCCGGGCTCTCGCGGGGCCGCTCCGAGAGGCCTGCGGCGCCAGGGCCCCGGTGGGGGGAATCCAGCAGGCTCTCCGAGTTCTCCAGGATCTCCTGGAGCAGCCGGCGCTTCTGATACTCCGGACCTGCCGGGGACCACACGGGGAGGCTGCATTCGAACCCCGGTCCCAGCACTGGATGACCCAGGGCAAGCCGCTCTGAGTCTCATTTATGTACTCAGCCAGCCTTAACCTACGGCCACCAAGTGCCAAGCACTGTTTTAAGCAATTCCCCAATACGAACTCATTTAATCATTTTAATAACCCTATGAGGTGTATGCTATTATTTAGCCTCCATTGTACAGATGAAGAAAAGGAGGCTCAAGAGAGGTAAAAATCACTTGCCCCAGAGTCACCCAGCTGACCAAGGGCAGAGCCAGGACTGGCACTCAGGCTAGTCAGGCTCCAGAGTTTATGCTCTGTATGGTCACACTGGTCTCTTTCCATTCTCTTATCTGAAAAACGGGCCCAATCATACCTATTTCATAAATACTAACGGAAGGATTAATCGGGTGAAAAAAAAAATGCCTGTAATATGCTGAGCTCAGTGCCTGGCACGTGGTGACAGCTGTTGCTATGACCACCCAAGGACGGAGGCAGCCAGCCAGGGTCGCTCTTCCTTGGACCAGCAGGCGGCGCACTGTGATGGGAAGCGACTTAACCTCCCAGGCACAGATCTGCGCTCCGCGGTCTTCCATCTAGTCTCCCTTTGGTCTTCCGGCCACAGCCAGAATGTTTAGAAAATACAAATCTAATCGTGCCACTCACCTTAAAACCCTCAGTGCAGGCAGCACCAGTCCCCCACCCTGACGGGCTCCCACCGCTCTATCCAAATGCAAAGTCTGTATCAGAGCCAGGGGGTCCTCCTTACTCTGCAGCCCCATTTCCCAGAGAGAAGAGACGGGCTGGAGTGGGGGGAGCCTCTGATACCCCGGCACAAGCTCAGCCTGAGTCCCCTTGCGTCATGCTTGCACCCATCCCATGCTTGCACCACGCTCCACAGATTCTGGAACTCAAAGGCATGCATGGACCCACTTGAGCATCTCAGCTTTCCAGCAAGCAAAGAAAAATTGTCTACTCCCCCCAGGACCTCCCCCTACCCCGTCCTGCCCCTCCCCTCCCTGGTTGGCCCTACCTGGCTGGTAGAAGTCTGGAGCCAGTTCCCTGGCCAAAGTGCGGGCAATGTTGGACTCTTGGTTGGCAGCCAGGGCAGCCTGTTCTGCTGCCTCAGCTTTGGCCTTGGCGTGACTTGTCCTAAGGAGACAACATGGTGGAGACTCAGGATCCCTCCAGAGAACCAGTCCTCTGCCCTTCCTCCCCAACCCACAAAGAGACACCCTGGACAGAATTTTCATTCACTCCAGCTGTCGATGAGTATTTATTGAGCCCTGTGGTCCAGACTGCTGTGCATTCCCCAGACCACTTCCTCTTCATTCTGGGCACACAGGTGGACTACATTTCCCAGCCTCCCCTGCAGTTAGGTGTGGTCAGGTGACTGGCCAAAGCATTGTGGGAAGACAGGATTATGCCATTTCCAGACCTGGCCCACAGAACCCCTCCCCCGTAATCCTCTTCGTCCTCTCTTTTCCCCCTGTTGCTGGTAAAATGCAGAGGCCAAGGCCCAGAACAGGGAATTTAACCTCATTTGTGACACAGATCTTCCTGGCATCTGGTGACACCGCTGGACCCCTTCTTGGGATGTTTTAAAATGCACAAATTACACAGGATTCCAAAGGGATGCAATTATATTGACACACTGTTACCAAAATATTTAAAGGGACAAATTTGTAATATAATAATATATATTCTTCTTTATTAACACTTTAAACAAAATATCTAGCAGGTCTATTAACTACCATAATTTAAAAGTGTAGCTTAACATAAAGAATATTTCAAGGATACGTGCAACAACAGTAATGTGCCGTGAAAATATATGTGATTTCTATCAGTGACAAAGTCAGAGATACTGCTAATACTACTGTTGATTTATTGCCAACTTCCATAATTGAAGAAAATACTAAATTTCGGTTAGAGGTTAGTAAAAATAAAGATGTATGGGATCAGGCTGAAGCTGGGCTCCAGGTAAGACCACATCCCTGCTTGGCTCCCTGTCTGACTCTGTGTCTCTCACTCCCCCTCTCTCCTGAGAGCACTTGATCCATAAATCGTCTGCACAAGGATCCTCACCTCAGACTCAGCTTCTAGGGAATCTAACCTAAGGCAGCATCCAGGTTCACAGACCCCCTGATTTCTCTCCACAGTACCGCCTGTGGACCCCAGGTTCAGAAACACAGTGGAAGGAATTTGGGTCCACAAATGATTATTGCATAGAGCAAAGTACCCCCCAGCCCCGCAAAGTCCCATATTAAATGTGGAACATTTAAGCATTAAATTTAAACATTAAATTCAGCAAGCCTTAAATGTCTACTGCGTTAAGCACCTGAAATTTGGGGGATGTTTATTTCAGTTTATTTAATCTAGCCTAACTAGGAGAAGTGCCTCTTAAAATATTAACAGCCCCACCTACCAGTGGGCATTGTCTTAAAGGAATTATGAAGATTATCTCACGTAATCATCATGATGCCTTAGGAAGCTGGTGCTGTTATTATTTTCCCTGTTTTATGGAAAAGGAAACTGAGGCACAGGCAAGGTAGGTAACTTGCCCAAGGTCACAAAGTTCCTTTAAGTGCAGGAACTGAGATTTTGAACCCAGGCAAGATGATTCCAGAGCCTGTGTTGCTCTGAAGCATGTGCCACACTTGGCCAGGAGCTGGGATTCCTGTGGACAAGACAAGCCCCTCTCAAGTGAGGGAGATGGGCTGGAAGCAAACAACCAAAATTATTTAACACAATGTAATTAGATAAACAGTGCAGTTGTGAGAAGTGCCATAAAGGAAGAGTACAGAATGCAATGAAAATGTACAACAGGAAGATTGATATAGATCGGCGGTGGAGGTGGGGATTAGGCAAGGTTTCCTGGAGGATGTGACATTTAAGTTGAGACCTGAAACTGACACATCAGTTGGCCCATCAGAGGTGAGGTGGGGACAGTGAGCCAGGTAGAGGGAAGAGCACGTGCAAAGGCCCTGAGAGGGAGTAAGAGCTTCGTGCCTTTGGGGAACTGAAAGGTCAAATCGGTGTCCCCATGGGCAGATGAGTCAGTTCCTCGGGGAGCTGATTTGCGTGTGTCTCTAGCATGGAATTGGGCCCACGATAAGGGAGATAAATTTTACTGAGCTCCCTCCAAGTGCCAAGCCCTTTGCCTACATTATCCCTTTCAATCCTCAAAACTGCCTGGGAGGCAGTTTTTACTGTCTCTATTTCACAGGTGGGGAAAGTGAGTCTCAGACAGGTACCTTGCTCAAGGATGCAAAGTAACAGTTGACACTTACAAAGCATTTACTACATATCAAGGGCTTTATAGAAATTAACCCATTTAATTCCCCCAATCACTATGTGGTAGATGATATCACCATCATCCCTCTTTACAGAGGAGAAATCCGGGGCATGAGAAGGCTTCAAGGATCCCACCAAACTTACCCAGCCAGCAAGCGACAGCAAGTTTTCAAACCAAGGCTTTCTGGGATCTAGAGTCTGTGCCCTTAACCACAGGCTGTACCTCCACTCCATAATGAGTAGTGGAGTTCAAACCCAGAATTGTCTGATTTCTAAACCCTTGCCCTCTCCACTGCCACAATAATGTTTACTGAAGAAAAGAAAATTTTACTGAATGAAAGGATACATAAATGAATGCACGCATGCACACGTGCACGTATGTATGTATGCGTAAGCGGCCAGCACAGGAGTAGTTAAGAGCATGGTTTTGGAATCAGCAGCCCTGGATTCCAATTTTGGCTCTGCCAAGGCTGGGGCTAGGGTGCAAAGGAGGCATTCACCTCAGGCTCAAAATTTCGGGATGCCATAAAACTCAGTAATCCAGATAAATAATACTCGAACGCCATATTTTTAAAAGTCCAAACTAATGCAAAAATAATCCTTGATGAGCAAGCTATGAACAAAATTTAAATAAAGGCCAAACCAGACCCTGCATTTGTATGACTCTCCTCACTCGCCCCCCTCCCCCAGTCCCGACCCCACTGGGACTCCAGGGCCTTGGGTGAGTGGCTTTGCCTCTCTATGCCTCAGTTTCTACATCTGTAGGATAATAATTCTGCCCCTTTGGAGCTGCTGTGAAAACTACTGAGAGGCAACACATGCAAGTGTTTAGCCCGGGATGGGGCTGAGTGATGGTGGTGATGGTGGTGATGGTGGTGATGGTGATGATGATGATGATGGTGGTGATGGTGGTGATGGTGGTGATGGTGGTGATGGTGGTGATGGAGAAGGAGGAAGATGACATTTGTGACATCAAAATCCAGTGTGGAGCCAACAATGAACCTACTGTATAGCACAGGGAACTATACTCAGTATTTTGTAATAACCTATAAGGGAAAAGAATCCGGAAAAGAATATATATATATATAATATGTATATACATACCTAGATATATGAATATATATACACATACATATATATATACGTGTAACTGAATCGCTGTGCTGTACACCTGAAGCTTACATGATATTGTAAATCAACTATACCTTAAAAAATTAAAACCTAGTGTGGTACATGCATGTCCCCAGACTCATATTTGCCTGTACATGGGTATGTGCGATTCAAAGATCTAAATTTTCAGAGACACTTCCCTGGAAACCTGAAACCCCAGGTTGGGGGAGGAGGGAAAGGGCTGGGCAAACCCTCAAACTGAGAAAATGTCCTTTTTTGGTAATGTAAGCTGGATGAGGCTTGTTTCCCGGTGCCCTGGGAAGCTGTGTTGCAGGACTCCTCAGGACAGAATGGCAGCCTTCACACTGAGCCCTGGAAGATTCTGGGGGATCAACGGTGGACCCTCCAGGGCAGCCAGAACAGGGGTCAGAGGGGAGTGGCCACACAGCCCAAGGCAATAAGGGCTGCTGGGTTTAAAGGAAGCACGCTCCTCTGCCCACATCAATCAATCTGACCAACTGAATACCTTATTAGCCCCCCCCCCCCAAATGCCTCTGATTTCAGGAATAGCTCCCCAGCTCCCCAGCCTTCAAGCCAGGAATCCCAGCGTCTCCCACACCCCCCTTCCTCATCTTTCAATATTCACAGACAACAACCACCAACTCCTGTCTCTCCTGCTCCCCCTATAGCTCTTGAATCTGCCCATTCTCCTTCCTTCCATCACTCCTCCTGCAAGGTCCTCCACTCCCATCTGTAGCCTCCCTGCCTCCAGGCTCGCTTCCTACAACCAATTACATGCAGCTTGCTTAACCCATACATCTCATGGCCTCACCACTTGCTGAAAATCTTTGCAAGGCTTCCTATTGTGCTGAAAATAAAGTCCAAACTACTTAGGGTGGCCTTCAAGGCTCTCCAAATTCTCGGCCCGAGGCAGCCTTGTTGGGGTATATCTGGTAGCTTACCAGGGCAGGCTGAACTGCTGTGGTCCAAAGGCTATCTTCTGGTCCAGTGGCACTCACAGTGTGGTCCATGCACCAACCCCCCCAGCCCCTCATCATCCAGGCACTCGTTGAAAATGCAGCTTTGGGGGCTCCACCCCAGATCTATTGAGTTAGAATTTCTTAGGAGGAGCCCAGGAATCTGTATTTTATAAACCTCCAGCTGCTTCCACTGCTCATTAAAATTTGAGAAGCATGAGCTAGTCAGACAGAGAGAAAATCCAGCTTTCTCTTGGGCAGTTCCCAGCCTGCTCAACCCCCCAGGAGCCTTGAGTGGCTCTCTCTTCAAGCACCGGGATCCCTCCCTGAGTCCAGGTCCTGCTAGGGAAGTGCAGGAACCATTTCTTTTCCTACGACCATTTTGATGTTTCTTGGGGAGGGTCTCCTAGGATGGCTCTGCCCCTAATGGGGAGAAGGGAAGGAGAGTAACTGGGGCACAGGGTGGGGCAGGGATCAGCCACCCTTCTTGATTTCAACAGATTTTCTTTCGTCAGCAGGGTTAAAAATAGGGCTGGTGGTGGTTCAGGGATGGGGCAGGGCAATAACCCAGTGGAAGCGCGTCTGAGAGTATCCAGCCCCACCCCTGACTCCTTTGCCCACCCCAGACCCCTAGCCACCCCATTAGATCTGGCCTTGCTGCCCAGGTGTCTCCATCAGGCCACCAATGGCTTCACTGGGCCAAAGGGAGACACCCACAGGATGTACCCCTGACTCCTTTGCTCCGGCTGTTCTCCCCTCTGGAATGTTCTT